TTCCTCTAAGATTGGGCTGGACCGCCTACTTCGCTGACTCTTGGGGAGGGGGGGTTGATATCGTCTTACTTTTCGACCATATTGTGACGGAACAATCAACCCTGAATAGCCTGTCCAGAGTGGTCCCATTATTTGGTATACACTTCGCACCTTCAAAGTGCAAACTGTTGCTACAGGATCACTAGCCACTGGATGACCCCTTGACACTTGCTAACAAGGAACTCGAGGTGGTTGATCAATTCACTTATCTTGGCTGCTGCGTCAGCAATGATGGGCGCATAGAAACTAACGTCAGCTCACGCATTGCAGACGTCAGAGCCACCTTGAACCTGCGGCATCTTTGGCGACAGAAGGGAATTTCCCTCCGTCTGAAAGACCGTGTATGCAAGACCACAGTGCGGGCCGTTCTGCTCTATGGTAGTGAGACATGGCCCTTTTTATCTGAAGATCTGAGGCGCCTTCAAGTCTTTGATCATCATTGTCTGCGAAGCATTGCCGGTGTCGGATGGCACCAGTGTGTCCCCAACGGTGATGTGCGTAGGCGAGTATTAGGTATTGGTAATCATGCTAACTCCCTAGAACAACAGATAGCACTGAGTAATTTGCGTTGGCTCGGGCACGTGTTACATATGCTTGGTCTCCGCTTACCTAGGAGGGCTTTGTTTAGTCTGCCAGGTGTAGGGTGGCGCAAGGCACGAGGTGGACAGAAGTTGACTTGGCAACAGGAAATGACGACCACACTGGATGCCGTTGGTCCGTCTCACCTTCCGGGCTGGAGTCCACGTGACTCGCCTTGTGTTTGGCTCGAGACTTTACGGGACATGGCTCGCAGTAGACACCAGTGGCGCGTCTGCTGGTCGGATTGCCTGTTTAAAGTGTGTTTGGTGCTGAGTTATCTGCGGGGTAATGACTGGTTATGACGCGTGGCAGTGAAAACCGCAAGGAAGCTGTCTCGCCGATGCCGCCTTATCTTTGCACGATAGCCAGCTGTGACGGTATGTTGTCTACACAACGTTTAGACGCCTTGACCCTGATTGTTTGCTTAGGGCATTAATGTTTTCAGGTAAGTCCCCCTTCTCTCCCTCTTCTTATTCTTTATTTCATAGGTCGTCATGGTTGTATAGCAGCGAAGCACCAGTTTAAATGGCTGATGTCCTGATAGTGATGATGATGATCAGCTAGAAGGGTGGGAACACCGAGTAAGCAACGAGCGTGTTTGACGTCTTGTTTACGGCACAGGAAAAGGAAATGAACCGCTCAGCACCGTCATTTCACGCACCAGACTCCGATGGCTCGGCCACGTTTTACGCATACCAGCCCACTGACTCCCGCGACGTGCGTTGTTTGCGCGCCGGGGGTGTGGATGGAAGAAGAGAAGAGGTGGCCAAGCGATGACTTAGTCGAGAGGAATGAAGGCCCTTACTTCGAAGCTGACCTGGGAGCGTCACAGCTCCCTGGTTGGGGTCCGAAAGACGATGAACACGTTTGGCTGGATACGCTTGTTGATATGGCTATTAGCCGACCTCAGTGGCGTTCGTGCTGTGAGTTTCTTTGTCCCACCCCATTCCTCTTATCCTCCCCCTCTAACCGCGTTCTCATTATTTAGTATTTTACAACTTTGCATAGTGACTTATTATTATTTTGTTTTCTGCTGCTTAGTAGCCGGCAGGTAGCTTATCGGAACGATGCCCATCCGTTACCGGTAGCTCAGCTGGCTTGTACCTGCTGCATTTTATTCCCTTTTTCTTTTAGTTATTGCGGCACAGTAGCTGAATTGTTTCCCACCTCTAACTAACGTGTATAGTGTGTGTGTGTGTGTGTGTGTGTGATCGTTCGTACGATCACTGGTCTTTCGCGCCTTTTTGTGCAAGAAAACGGCGCATCAGGGTGAGTGCTCTGTCTTCATTGGCTTTGAACGAGCTGTCGCACAAGGCGGACAAGATGGAATGAGTGTAACTTGGTCTAACCTGGTTCTAGGCGGAGCAATCGTTGGCTGGATCGAGCACATCGAATTAACATCGCGTTTCGGCCAGCGAACTTAAGCGGACAGTATACGACGATATGACAAGAAATGCCCAGCGAAAAGCTGCCACACTGAGGTAGCGTCTCGAATTCATCTAGGGCATAACTGGCACACAGCTTGAACAAGTGAATCGCTTTGTCTACCTTGGCGGCTGCATGTCTGCTAGTGGCTCTATTGAGAAGGAATTTTCTCTCCACATCGCCAAAGCTCCGTCAACGTTCGTCAACTTAAAGCACTTGTGGCATCGTCGGGATGTCTGTTGTTAATTGGTCGCATGTACAGTGCCACCGTTCGTACGGTGTTGCTATATAGAAGTGAGTCGTGGCCAGTTCGTGTGGATGAAATGCGCCGACTCTGCTTTTGCTAATAGGTGCTTGAGGAGGATTGGTCGTGTGTGATGGCAGCAACATATTTCCAATGGTGATGTCCGATTTCTTGTCCTAGAGAATGCAAGTATGCCCCTCAACAAACTGGTCTTTCTGCGTCAACTGATTATGGCTTGGTCCAGTTTTGCATATGATAGTTGAGCGTTTACCTTACTGCGCCCTTTTCGCTAGTGCAGGGCATGCCTTGAAGAGACCGCGTGGTGGTCAGCCTTCCAATTGGCGTCAGCATAAAAAATCGTTGACTTCACATCTTGCCGCCGTTGGATCCACACGCCTGCCTGGTCGGGGACCAAAGGATGAAGAGTGCCAATGGCTAGAAACATTGCAAGATATGGCACGTAGTCGAAACCAGTAGAATATTTTTGTACCTACTTGTTTAGATTCAGATGTCTAATGCTTAATAATTGAAACCGGCAACACAATTAAAAAATGGTGTTTGTAAAGATAACAAAAACACTTCCGTTCTTCTTACAGCATAATAACTACGTCATGATGATGATATGGTAATTAAACCTGTAGTCTTCTTATGGTTTTTTGGCTCTATGTCTATTCGTTAGATAGTTGCGGATACATACATACAGGGCATAACTGGTCTTGCGGTTCATTATTAATGTTGATTTCATTTCTGCTGAGACCTTGTTTTGACTTTTGGCATGGCTACGCGACGTGTAGTCTACAAAACACATGTGTACTACACAACGGTTGCTAGGCCGTTGCATTCATTGTTTCTCATTCTTCGCACTGATAACCCGCACAAGGAATCAGAGTTGAGTCCTATTTTGCCGACAGCAGCGAACGTAATGTCCACTGGTAATCCATGGGTCCACAAGTAAAAATGTGCACCATGTTTGTGAATATCGGTGGTACTTTGTTAACGGACGGGATAGTATTTGTTGATTTGTATCTAATCGATGTCCCGTTTGACGTGAAATGTCCCTTATTGTTAAGTTTTGAGGGTCATTTTGAGGTACACGTTGTGTGGATCGATTGCGACACGTAATCTCAATGCTTACCGCGATTCCCATTGTAGTGAACTTCGGACTTTCGATCACGAGGACCGTAGATGAAGCCGATGGGAATGGGGTGCTGCGCGCCCGAAAACACTACACTCCTGTGACGCGTTTCGTTTCGTTTCATCTCATCCGGTAGAGATAACAGGCATCGAACTCGGGACTATTGGGATGTTTGTTGTGACCGCTGCTCCTAAACCACCGGGTCGCGACAGTTAACACTTGACACAACGGTTACTGATGGATTGTGTGGACCATTTTAAAGTACACGTTGTGTGGATGGATTGTGCCATAAGAGTGCAGACAACACGCAATTTCTATCTATCCCTTTTTTATTTTAAGCGATATATATATATATATATATTTAACACGGCCAATAGTACAATTGGCATAATGCCACAATGTATGGAAAATACAATAAACATACGAAGATAGAGGAAAAAACCGAAGTTCATGGGAATAGTGAGTCACAACTCCGCCATTGTGCACGATTTCTTGCCATATCCGAAAGCGTTTCCAGCCATGTGTATTCCGAATCCTTCACACTCCAGCCAGGTAGCCGATAGCGCCCGACCACGGCTAACTTTGACGTTAGCTCCTTCATGCTCCTCGCCCAGGTCATACAATGACCACCTTGCTTTCGCTTCCTGCCTTCTTTTGCGTGCACAAAGAGGGAACACCGAGGTAAGCGGTGAGTAAGCAAGAGAAGAACATGCCCAAGCCACTGAAGTCTGCGCAGAAAAATTATACTGCTCAGTAGCCAGCAAAGTCCCTCTGAGCTAAAAATCCTTCGTCGAATATCTTCATTCCTAGTGTGATGTAGTCATCGTACACCAGCAATGCTCCGAAGGCAGCGGTGATCAAAAACAAACAGCCTCTCAACATCCTTTGCGCGAACAGGCCAATGCGGTTTATCTGATACACACCTCGTCGTCTATTCTTGCATGGACAGTTTGGAACATTTTATACACGGTACTTCATGGGACCTTTCAACATTCCATCAGATCAACTCCCTTATGGCAGAGGCGCGATTCGCCCACCCGTTCTCGTCGGACTGTTCTTGGCCCATTTATGATCATATCAAAATTCACCATACCCCTCTGCGTTTATATTCTACTCATCGTTTTCGATCCTGTCAAGTGATGCGACGTGCAGGGAGTTTAACCATTATCATACAACCATCCTTCTTATCCTCCTCCTCCTCCAACCACGATCTGATTTCTTAGCATAATATAATTTTACATAGGGAATTTTTTGTTGCCTAGTAGCTGGCTGGTAACTTTCCGGAACGATGGTCATCCGTTACTGGTAGCTAGCAGATAGCACGCCTCTGTTGCATTTTGCTCCCTTTTTATATATTGCGGCACAGTAGCGGATGTGTGTTCCACCTCTAGCTAACGTGTATAATGAATGAACGGGCATCAGTCTGGCCTCACATATACTGCTATTTACCGGTACCGCATGGACCACACCGAATTTGGGCACCATCGGAAATACATCCATTTTAAGTTATACCGCAAAGCCGATTTTTCAGTTACTTTTCTGTAATTGCCAAGTCCACCTGAATGTCATCTTTTTCAGGCTAACTCGGTTCTCCACCCAAGGCTCCTGCATCTTGGTCGCAGGCATTATCGAATCAACGATCATGCAGCAGAGCCGGTTGCTCCCATTGGTCAGCTTGACGAACGTTGCCTCGAGGCCGATGATTCTGCTGACATTGGGGATGAATCAGCCTACGAGCTTGGTTGCACCATATCAGCCGATGAGCGCGGTTTTGTTGCTGACCTCCGCATTCCCTATTCATTCCATCGCCACATCCTCGGATTTCGTCGAACAACACTGACACAAATTCAAACCGAGTTTTTCTGTCGTGTTCTAGTTCCACCGGCTGAAGCCCACTCTCCGAAGATTACCATCATGGGAGCATCTCGTTCTGGAGTTATCGGGGCTATCAGACGTATACGATGGGTCTACCGAAATGCTCGTTCCAGATCTAAGCCTACTCATTTTCTTTGTCTGCCTGCCAACTTGGATGAAATCAAACTCAATTACGAGGCGTTCCGTTGTAAAGTTTTAGATCGCATCAAAGACAAAGATAACTCGGATTTCGCCGGTGTACATATTCGCCTTTTTCAAAGTCCAGAAACCATGCATTTTACAATCGTTCCGCTACTGTTGGCAGATGATGAGGAAATTAATCGTGCCCTAAATCTTTTAAAGGAATACACAGAGTCTTCTGAAGGCCAGCAAGCTCTTTCCGCTGGTCCTTTTCGGCTTTCAATTCGAGGTTTAGAATACATGAATGATGACCCAAACGCTGTGAGGGTGTTGTATGCCAAGGTATGTATCTGTTCCCATCATATTCTTTACTGCATCACCTGCCACTATTCTTAATTTCTATGCCATTCAGCATGCGTCTAGGTCAAATTGCTTGAAACCTTAATCAGTGCATCTGTCAGTCTTCAACGGTTCATGGCTAAGCCTATCTCACCTTTCAGTCCTTCTTCTGGCCACCGCCCAAATGGATTGCGCATTTGCTTTATACCACTGTGGTCACCCGTTGGAATCCGCGTAGATACTGGCGACCGCGCGACTGGTTGTGTTCGCGTGGTAATGATGAACTCTTAGAGAGTGCTCTGGAGAACTGCGAACTCAGCGGCACCCAGTTGCCCCCAGGGGACGGACTTTGGGATTTGAAGTATGCAGACGATATCGTCTGAAGGGCTGAGTTTACAATATCACAGTGAGAAGGGTTCTGTTCCATGGCTGCGAGACTTGTCTTGTTCGCGCCAAAGATGTTAAGAGGCTGTCTGTATTTTATGAATGCTGCCTTCGGAGCATTACTGATGCACGATGGCAACATTACACTAGTAATGAGGATGTTCGATGGAGAATCTTCACACCAAACAGACTGCTGGCTACTAAGCAGCATAATTTCTCTGCACAGACTTCCGTGCTTGGGCATGTTTTTTGCATGCCTACTCACCGTCTGAAAGCGAAAGCAAGGTTGCCAACATATGCAAATATATATATATATATATATATATATATATATATATATATATATATATATATATATATATTTGTCTAGTGGGCCATGCGCTGTGCCATTTGGGGCCACTACAGAAGCGACGACGGGTCCTGCAGAGAATTACGACGAGCCGGCGCAGCGTTTGTAGACACGCTGAATTCGATTTACTAACCGCGTGCTTGCATGCTAAGTCTCTTTATTTCAGGTGGTGGGTTTACAGTTTGTGCCTTAATGCTTTTCTTTCTCATATAAATATCTCCATGTACTCTATTCCATTAACTTGCACACATCGCTTCAGCCAATTGTATTCGATTTCCATAACATTCTTGTGTTCGTGGCATACCGTGAACTATACTTCCTGACCTCATGCACTTAGCTAGGATTTGTATGTAAACAACTTATTACGTATGCTATTTAATTAAAGTTTATGTCACCGTTTCCTTATGCATTAATCGAGTTTTCTCTTTCTCTTTTTCTTTCTCTCTCTCTCTCAAGTGATTGGCTGTTGTTTGATATCCCCGGTGTGGCTGCGCTTGATGTGCATGTTGACAAGGTGCCTACCTGTCTATTACCCACTACGTCGTCCATACTGGCTCCAGGAGACAGTTGGTCGTTGCTGGAGGGGACGGGGTGCACGGTCCTTGTGGTCGTGCTAGGCTCGAAGAGTGGTTCCATGCAGTCAGTGTGGAGCGGACTACGGTCCAGCCACCGCCTTGTGTGCGCTTGATTCCCAAATACAGCGTGCTTGTGTTTTTCTGCGAAGGAGTGTGGGCCGGCTCCGTTGATGAAACGTGGCTCCCGTCCGCATGCCTCCCTTTCTTATTCCTTCGGTTTTACACTGGATATGGGGTGTGTGGTATGAAGCTGTGGGTGGTGCAGCGCAAGCCATCCATGGTCCCTCTGTAGGCGCAGGCGTCCTGTGGCTTGCCACAGTGACAGGCAAATCCGAAACCGGATGCCGCCAACCATATATATACATATATATATATATATATATATATATATATATATAAACGTTTTATTCCTCAGCAGTGCAAGGCACAGACCAATTGGGTGGTCTTATCAACATGTGCAAAGTGATCGCTAATATAGATAGTTATTTATCTTTTGATCATTGTTTCCCCTATGGATTTTTGAATTGATTAGCAGTTTGGAAAAAGTAGAGAGATAAAGAAACTGGGAGCAATAATAAATGTAGATTTCACGGAAAGTTCACATAAAGTAATACACTCATCCATGGAACTCTCCCCAGGAGACTTGCTTCCATGCAGGGTATTTCCACGATGAATTTCATCAGCACTTCCATGCTCCAATTGGCTCAGTAAATAGGCCATCAGAACTGGGTATCAAATGTCTTTTTTATGCATACATTATAGGCGATGAAACCTCAGCCCGCTCTGTCATGCGGATCAATCAAGTATGGCACTTTTTTGTTTTAAGCCAGCGAGTCAGTAGTAATATGATTTGCATGGATATACTTTTTATTTTGGAAGCTGTAATCCGTCACCACAAGAGATCAGCCCAGTCATGACCAACGGTGTAACAAAGAAGAATATAAAGTATGAGGAATGATAAAACATAATGATGAATACAAACGCTTGCCGATAGGCCAGTCATAATTTGATGGAAAATCCTGGCGAGTGACGACGGTGGTACAGAGACATCAGCTTGAAAGGCGTAGTGCATCTACGAACCAGTGCGTCAAAGGAGAAAACAGAATTGGTTAGACGGATCGATAGGAGTATGACTCGTTCTCAAATATATACTCAAGCATGCAACTATATGTAGGTAATCTTATATTATTGAAACGAATAGAGGATGCGGTGACTTTCATATGTATCCAGGACCTTTCTCATACAAATCATCTAGAGTCACCTTTTGGCTTAGTGTTGACCAGATATTTGCAACAGTCAGGTGAATATTAATCATGCATCTGAATTGTGGATAGGTAGTGCAGTTTCTAACACTCGATGGAAGTTTGTTCCATATTAACGCATATTTTACGGAGAAAATATTTGAGCGGAGCTTTGTGCGAGACTTTGGTATTTTCACATTGCGCTCACTGTTTCTTAGTTCATAGCGCATACGAGTCTGAAACTCGAGTTGTGACTGAACAGTGAAGCTTAACCCGAATACTAAACGGTATAGAAGGCACTGATTAAGTTTGAGTCTGCAAAGCCGTAGCGGCTCCAGATTTAGCGCCTCGCAACGCTCACGGTATGTCATAGTATTAGGCATGTTCAGAAACCTTTTTGTGAATGATCGTTGCATGTTTTCTACTGCTATGATGTCCACTTTGCTCAGATTACTATGCACTATCGTACAGTACTCAAGTTTCGGCCTAACACATATTTTAAAGGCTTGAAGCCTGGAATCCCTCAAAATAAGTGTTCGACTTATATAGGCGATCACTTTTCTGGCAGAAGCCTGCAAGAATATAACATGCTCTAAAAAGTTAAATGAGGCAGAATATCTTAGACCAAGGTCTCGGACTGCGCCACACACAGGAATAGGGGTATCGTTTAATGTAAGGATGTTCAGAGAAGGGTCACAGCCGTAGTACAATAGATTACTCTTGTCAGTGGCAAAGTGCAACTTCCAGGAGTTGCTCTAGAGCTCCAATGCGGATAAGTCAGACTGAATATAGGCTAAGTTAGGACTACATTGCCCAGGGGCGGAACAATACACAATTGTAACATCATCAGCGAAAAGGAACGGCTTTCCATACGAGATTTCATCAAGGAGATCAATGAAATGGATTAAGAATAAAAGCGGGTCTAGCTCGCTACCTTGAATCACTCCACTAGAGCTTGTAGTGGCTTCAGATGTAAAGTTACCGATTTTGACTACTTTCCTTCTACCCTCGAGGTAGGAAGACAACCAAGCTAGAAGCGAATTAGTGATACCATAGGACATAGGCTTCAGCAACAATAAATTGTGTGGGACACGGTCAAAAGCCTTTTGGATATCAAGAAATATTACGATGATGGCATTCCCGGCGTCTCTTGCTCTAGTCACATAACCAAGGTAATCTAACTGACAGGTAGTGCATGGCCTACATTTCAAAAAACCGTGCTGATGTTTACTGAGCTCCTAGCACTCAAATATTCTATTATGCGTTCTTTAACTATCCTCTCTCCACACACACACACATATATATATATATATATAGTTGTACTCAGTAATAGGGGATTTTGATATAATTAATTGACGTTAGTCGCAAGTAGTCGACTATATGCCCGGAAAAGCACTGGACTGCTGTTGCATCCTGTTGGGCATCATTAGTGCACATCCATCAGTATTCAAATCCATGACCACCAGCGGCTTGCACCGCCAATCAGCAGCTTATATCACTAAGGACGGCTTTGGACTTTCGTGATTTACAAGCATACTGCGATATAACGCATCTTACCCTCCACTGCCATGCAAGCTACATAAGTTGCTAAGGATTTCTTTACTTAAGTAGAAGTTCATCTCATCTAGACTCACTCAGATCACACGCCCGAAAAACCACTTTACGCGCGTTTCATCCTTTCAGGAATCGTCAGCAGTGTGCATTCCATCGGACCCTGGTAGGGCTCGAACCCGCACCTCTACTGTTGCCAGTCTGTGGTTGAGACCACTGAGCTACGGAGGACGGCAACGACCATCGTGAATAAGTTACTAGACCTGATTTAGCGTCGCTCACTATCCACTAACTTTCACGTTATTGCCGTGCGGAGGACAGGGTACCCCCTCAACAAGCGACGTAGTTACCAGACTTAAGTCACCAATGAACTTATGACATTATACTCCGTTTAGTCTGCGTACTGATTGCAGAAAAGTAGTAGGGAGTAGAATGGTATACCTAGATGTTCGTCAAATCTAGACTCAGTTAACCATCACACGCTCGGAAATCCATAGTACGCTCATTTCATTTTTTCGGGAATCGTCAGCAGTGCGCATTCCATCGGACCCTGGTAGGGCTCGAACCTGCATCTCGACTGTTGCCAGTCTGTGGTTGAGATCACTGAACTATGGGGGACGGCAACGACCATCGTGGCTAAGTTACTAGACCTGATTTAGCGTCGCTCACTATCCACTAACTTTCACGTTTTTGCCGTGCGGAGGACAGGATACTCCCTCAACAAGCGACGAAGGTACCAAACTTAACTTACGGCGTTATAAGCGTACTGCCTACTGATTACCATTCAAGTCCCCCTACTACTCCTTTTTAATGACTACACAGACTAATCTGCTTATAATGCTGTAAGTCACTTGGTGATAGGACTACCCTGTCCACTGCATGGCAGTAACGTCAAAGTCAGTGGATAGTGAGCAGCGCTAAATCAGATCTAGTTACTTATTCACGATGGTCGTTGCCGTCCTCCGTAGCTCAGTGGTCTCAACCACAGACTGGCAATAGTCAAGGTGTAGGTTCGAGCCCTACCAGGGTCCGATGGAATGCGCACTGTTGACGATTCCCCAAAGGATGAAACGCGCGTACAGTGGTTTTCCGGGCGTGTGATGGCTGTCTGAGTGCGTCTAGATGTGGAAAACTACCTATGCTATTCTACCCCTACTAATCTGTAATTTGTTTACTTATTTAAGTGCAATACGGCCAATAGCACGATTGACATGTTGCCAAAACGTATGGGAACTGCAGCAAACGATCGGAGAGAGAGGAAAATAATGGAAACCAGTGTTCATATGGATTGCGAGTCACAACAGGTCCACCAAGACGCACGGTTTCTTATCATATCATAAAATTTTTCCAGCCATGCGTGTTTCTGATCTTTCATACCCCAGCCAGGGAGTCGAGAGCGCCGAACCACGCTGACTTTGAAGTTAGCGCCTTCATTTTCTTGTCCCAAGTCATACGTTGATCATCTTGCTTTCGCTTTCAGACGATTCCTGCGCGCGCAGAGAGAGCATGCCTAAGTAAACGATGAGTTGGCATGCGAAGAACATGCCGAAGCACGGAAGTCTGCGCAGAGAAATTATGTTGCTTAGTAGTCGGCAAAGTCTGTTTGATGCGAAGATTCTCCATCGAACATCTTCATTACTAGTGTAATGTTGCCATCGTGCATCAGTAATGCTCCGAAGGCAGCATTCATAAAATACAGACAGCCTCTTAACATCTTTTGCGCGAACAAGCCAAATCTCGCAGCCATGGAACAGAACCCCTTCAGAGATAGACTCAGATCGCCTCGACGTCAGAGACGGCGGAGATTAGCAAAAGCAATTCGAGACGCGCAAAAAGGCCTTATCCGTTAAACCATTAGTGCTGAAGTAGCTTCCGAGATAAACGAACTCGTCTGCCACTTCCAATGAATGACCTGAAAGGGTAAGGATAGGAGCAGCGCTTGGTCAGTCCTGCAGGAGGACCTTGAACTTCGATGGTGCGAAGGACATTCCAAACTGGGAGACAGACACATCCAACCTACACAGGACATTTTTGGCGGACTGTGAGGTATTGCAGATTATGGGGATGCCGTCTGCATACTTCACATCCCGAAGTTCGTCCCCTGGGGGCAACTGGGTACCGCTGAGTTCGCAGTTCTCCAGAGCACTCTCCAGGATGTCGTCCGTAGCGAAATTGAGCAAGAATAAAGATGTTGGGAAACCCTGTCTCACGTCACTGGTGAATCTAACGGGGGGCGAGGCGAAAATCCGCCGTACACCCGTTGTTTGCCCGAGATTTGGGTGTACACTGATTGAAGTATGGTGACATGCTTCTCAGTCACTCCCCTTCTCAGTAGACAACTACATTGCGTGGCTCGGTCAGCTGAGTCAAACGCGACTGGTATATTTAAGAAGTCGACGATCGTTGGCTTGCCAAAATTTACGACGCTTGAGTATTTGGCGGAGTGTAAAATGTGATCGATTCAACCCGGACCTGAGTGGAACCCAGCTTGCTCTTCCCATATGCTCTGTTCACTTACCAGGCTGTCTCCTTAAAAGCATAGCGGCGAGCACCTAGGAAGCAAGACAGATGAGACTAATCCCACTGTGGTTGGCGCAGTCAGTTCGGTACACTTTTTGTAAACGGGCGTGATATTCTCTAGGATCCAATAACTTCAGTGACGTTGATCTCATGGGGCAGAGAAGTTAACTCCTGAACAAGTGACGGGTCTCCATCTTTGAAAAGAGCTGTAGGGATTTCATCTGGGCCAGGGGCTTTGTACCTCTTTAGGAGGTGACGCTCTTAGGCAACCTCATCGTCAGATGATTGTGAAGCGTCTACACCGTGGAGTGCTCTGCATGCTTAGAAGGGAATAGGACCGTCGAGTGGCTGGTGTACAGCGTTACTCCGGCTAGTTTGATGAACGTCGGCGGATGGATCCGGGCTCGAGATTGACTCTCAATACCCCACCACCAAGGCATCGACGCTATTTTCCACCAGTCACGACTAATTTCATCTCATCGGACTACTTAAGATAGCCCGGCACACGTCTGTAATTGTTCTCCTCGGTCAGCTTTTTGTTTCCCATTCCATCCATAACTGAAACTTATGCAGTTGGACGAATTTCGTTACCAGCGTTGTTTGGTCTCCTCTAATCGGACTGCACTTGAACTTACTACCTTTGAACGCTATAACCTTTTACCATTGAATTGCACGTAGATTATTCTTTGTACGCAACTTAATCACGGTTGTTATCTCACTCAATTTAAGCTAGTTCACTTGCTTTAGGGAACTTTTGCATCAAAAGCTTAGCATCGTTCAACCTATACGATTACCGAATGTCCATAAGGCCTTCGGAAGGGATGACTTCCCAACCGTTCCAAAATCCATTCCATGCTGTTGAAGCACAATTTTCCCTTTATCCGAAACAAGCGTCTAGATTGTAGGATATGTTATTCTCGAACCTACTTAGGGCATCTTAACTGTTATTCCAAGCACGCATCCAAATCCTTACTTGTTGTTGCAATTGGATGCCCGTCGTTCTCGCACTGACTGTATTCAACAGTCCCTGTGGCTTCTGGACACTGGACTGCTCTATTTCTCCTCAGATTCTTAACGTGAACACTAATGTATCTCGTAACTGTGAATGAGTCTCTGAAGCATCGCCCGGTTTGGTAGAAGCGCGTTAACGGGTTCCAATGGATACTGCGTTTCAGCGTATCCGTAACTCCCTGAAACGACATATGACAAGTTGACTTCGAGTTGACCGGGTATGTGGGTGGGTTGCAAAGACCCATGAGATGGAAAAAGCCAGTGCTATTGGAAACTGCCGACTGCTATTCCAGCTCATCCGGAACATGAATCCGAGAATCCGGGCTTCACCGACTAGCCCGTTGGGCGGAACATTTTGAGGAGGAATTCAGCAGCCCTGCTGCAGCACTGCTGCTTGCCGAATTATCTGAACCTACTTGGAAAGTTGTTGTCACACCTAATTTGGAAGTGATTGGATATGAGCGTTCTGTGTTGAGACGAAACAAGGCTCCTGGCCTCGGCGACGTTTCTCCATCTTTGCTGTAGGATGGTGGTGACTCCGTTGACTGGACTTGCTTTCCTTCTGAACACGGTTTGGTACACTGAAGAAATGCCTTCAGACTGGCGACTATCAACTGTCGTGCCTATCTTCAAGAAGAGTCAGCGTACTTTGTGCGAAAATCATCGAGGCATTAGCCTTATTTCCATTGCCTCAAAGCTTCTCACGAGTATCATTCTTCCTCGACTTATTGGTCCCCTTGAGGACCGAATCACTGAAAACCATGCTGGCTTCCGTCCTGGTCGTGGTTGTGTCGGCCACAAGTTTTAGAATAAAACCCACATACAAACGATGATGTCTTTCCTTTCGTAGAAAGCCGCCTTCGACTCTGTTGATCGTGACAGCATATGGCACTGCCTATCCATGAAGGGCGTCCCAGCTAAACTCCTTTCCATTCTGAAGTCTTTACCGTGATTCCCGAGGCCGTGTAAGGGTCGGCGGGAAATTGTCTCCTGAGTTCCCCGCGATAGGTTGAGTTCGCCAGTCGTTCTGTACCTCCTTTCCTCTCCCCCTTTGTAATCGAAATGCACATCAATAACTCAGTTTTTCAGACTATGCTGGAGTGGAATTGCTGCCAGGCGACCCACTGACAAAACTGCAGTTTGCGGACGACATAGTTCACATTGGGTCTGATGCATTGGCAATGCAAACACTACTGGATAGACTGACACCTAGCGCTGTACGCTTCAGCATGTACTTTGCACCTTCAAAGTGCAAATCACTGTCGCATGACTGGACCAACACAGTTTCTAGCTATCAGCGAACATCCACTGGAAGTGGTGGATCGGTTCACTTACCTTGGTAGCTGTGTCACCTCTAGTGGTCACTTCACTGAAGAAGTTACTTCTCACATCAACAAGGCCCATATGCTTTTCCAGAGACTCAACCATCTATGAAGACAGCGGGATATCAGCATTTCAGTGAAATGTAAAGAGTATAACGCTGCGATAAGGTCTGTGTTACTGTATGGATCAGAGACCTGGCCAGTTCGCAGTGAGTACATTAAACGCTTGGCTGTGTTAGACCACCGGTGCTTGCGAAGTATTGCTCACCTTTGGTGGGAACACCGAGTGAATAGTGCTGAGGTCCGCCAGTTGATTTTTGGCAAGAAGTCTTCTGGTGCCTCTCTCGAGTGTTTGCTAAATTTTGGTTTCTTGCGTTGGCTAAGCCATATCTCCTGTATGTCCGTTGATCGACTTCCTCGGCGTGCACTATACGCTGTGGCCACATCATGTTGTGCGTAACCGCGAGGTAGCCTGTCCACGACATGGCATAGAAACGTAAAGAAATTGACTGAGAGACTTGATCAGACTTGTGCTTACCGTCTTCCTAGGTGACGACCTCGCGATGATTCACACCAATGGTTGGAGATCGTGTCAGACATTGCGTAGTCACGAAATCAGTGACGTTCCTGAAATCGGCTTCTTTCATCTCCTTGTTGTTCGTTACATTCTGAATAGTCTAACGCATTTCTTACTTGCTCTTGTTTTCCCTACATTCTGTTGGCACCCAGCCACTATTCTACTATTCCGACTTATTGTTATTCTTACAGTGTGAGTCGTGGCAATTGGATCCACCGCTCTTCGGTGTTCTGCTCATAGTTCTTCAACTGAACTGCGTTGTGTCATTAATCGACTATTTCCTGGACGTTAACTTCGCCATTATTAACTTGACTTTATTTCTCTTTTGCATCCATTAAAGTTTCTTAGTCCATGCTACTCAAAATAACAACGCATTGTATATCCGTACCCTCTGTATGCTCCAGATTGCTCCGTCCCGTGAGAGAGATCGATTTCAGCAAGTGTCCAACAGTTTGGCCAAACTATTTGAAGATCATGATTTGACATGTGGCAAAATTGAACGTCCACAAGGAGATGTCTTGCTTCATCTGACCGTGCTTAATGCCGCTTTTGCAACTGAATCCTCCGAATCTGATGGTCAGTTCAGCGTGGTTGGCATACTACGCGAATTTGGGGACTTTACTTTTGCCAACGACAAACTATTCGACTGCATCCACTTGTCCACTAGGGGCAGCTATTCGGAAACTGGTTTCTATACCGAATGCGGCCGCATTAGTCTTGCAGATTCCCGCGTGGCTGTGCTTGATTCGAGAAATACAAAAACCTGATTGTTTTTTTGTGTCACTGTCTTCGCGTTTCTGGTGAACATTTGTCCACCCTAGTCTTCAATTTTGAGTCTGTTTTTTGGGATCTCACAGTAGTCGCCTTCGTTCTTACCCTTATTTTTCGTATATTACTAGATTATCCTGGCTTTTGGATGACCACCTTCACGAGAAACGAAAAAGCATCTTTTTAGTCAACCGAAATGGGCTGAATGTCACTTGTCCTTGTCATTGTTCCATGGTTTTGCGGCCGATTGGACCCTGGTTCATATTTCTAAGACGTCATCTAATTGTTTTCTTCTAGAACGGCATCACCTAGCAGCATCGCTGTCGCACTTTGCAGTTGGCATATTTCGTGAAACAGCTGCCTTCTCCCTTTATTTTTGCACCGCTGTTGCTTCAAATTTACTTCGCACTAAGTCCTTTTAACCCTCCATGAACGTTATGTCATTGTTTATTCATTTTGCAGCCGCCCGACGACTGCCTGTTCGCCTGTGGTAAAATGCGTGCAGAATATTTAGTTTTGCTGTGCACCAACAGAATCTAAAGTGTCCGTCTGTGTTTCACCTGCACGCGGGTGATTGGATAGATCAGTCTACATTTTCGCCGTCCTGGACTTCTGACCGCGCTTGCCTTCACCCATGATGCTGCTTATTCGAATACGATCCACTAGCTAGCCTAGTGTATCGGTGGGTATAACTACTTTAACGCTTCCCGCAGCTTGCATGACAAGCAATTAACTTACCGGTCCTAGCAGCTTACCGGCGTCGAGGAGTCATGGTATTGTCTTCTACCGAGTCCCAACAATACCCATCTAATGCTTTCCGGGATGCATGGGAGTTAACCGTGAGGTGTAGTTTACAAAAGAACACTGCAAACCCCCTACTCGCTAGCAATAAACGTAACGGCTTCAACAATTGGCACCTGCATCGGAGGGTTCGCGAAGGTTCAGCATTCCGGCAAACTGAGGGAAACTAAGCGGCTAGAAAACCCCCGGAATGACACTTGAGACCAAGCGGCATGTGGACCAGACAGCAACGTGAGTTGGTCAGAAATCGAGTCCAAACGGGGGGCCAGTAGGAAAGCCTCAGCAACAACAGTAGCAATAAATGCGTTCTGAACTGTAACATCAGAAAACTGCGGTTGTTTTACATCAGGAACCGTAGGCTCAGCTGCTGGACAACCGTGGGCAGAACAACGAGGAATGGATGGCTTGCATCACCTTTGGAAATTTGACAAGGCGCGAAGCAGAATTATAACGAAACGGGGCATGAAAAGTAAGCATACTTAAAGATAAATTTAACAAGACACCGAATGCAAGAGTCTGCTACCGATCCCTGGATTGTGCGAAGTTGTATAACATTTGCTGCCGGCGGTGTGACCCATCCCTGAATACGTCCAATATCACGCTGAGCAAGTCCCTCAACCAAAGTTTAATGCTTTTACCTCGCACGGTTCCTCTCAGCTAGGCACAGATACAGCATAGAATGCAGTTAGCAGTCGACAGCGTAGAAGGAACTCATTTTAACTAACGAGGGTAATGAGAATTCAACGGGTATTCCAGTGCGATATTAAAAGGTTACATACCAAATATCAACCAGTGGACTTTAGTCATAACCATTGGGGACCCCGATAAGGCATAGGTAACACTGGAAGCACCGATAATCAAAAATGGTCCACCTCTGACTTTTGCGGATTTGCCGGTTAGGCTTTTGATTCACACAATGACACCGGCCGTACTGCAGCACTGTATAGGCCAACGCTGTCACCACTGTCACCACAAAGTACTGGTGCACGCCTTAATCATTGGTGCTTTGAAAACGCAAATTGACACGACTAACTCGATAAGCAAACGGATGTACTACTTCGAGTGGTTTCAAGGTAATCTTTAGAACTAATTAGGTGTCAGTGGAGCCATGCAGTTTGTACATTGTGTGGTCATGCTAGAGCGCGGAGCACTCTCAAATGATTTAGTGGCCATTTTGCTTAGGACACACGTGTAGATAGACGCTAGTGCGTCGTACTCTTCGCAAAGTAATTTAGAGACAATTTCCATGGGCCCAGAATAGGCCTTGGTAGTTGCGGTAGACAGGTTATAGAACACTCCTGTCGCTAACATAATCCGCGGTAAGCAATATCACAATCCGATACGATACTGACAGAACTTTCGCACTCACATATCCGGAGATGATGCAGTTTCGGATACCGGTCAATCCTATTTGGGTAGTGCTTTGAGCCCCGGGGCTTAAGCTGCTCTGATCTATCCGATTTCATCAGATTGGCTGGCTCGTTCAAAGATTCGAAGTCGTGTGGGGACAAGTGATCTCCATTTGTCATCGGGGCATGCGCCTTCACGAACTGTATCATAGTCTCGGTAAGAGATGACTTCTATCACCAATCGAATGCGCTATTTCGTTACGAAAAAAGTACGGATAATGTGGTTACTGGAGATCTGAACGCAGGAGTTGGCAAACTGTCCACTAATGCGCTGCATCTCGGCGGCCAACGCAGTGTAGGCTTCAGTAATGATGACGATGAACGGTTGTTAATTTATGTGCAGATGCTCATTTATTTCTCGCGAGCGCTAGCTTTTCACATAGCATCCGCAGTAAGGTGACAGGGCACCCACCAGCCACCGACGAAAATCAATCACATCACGGTCAGTCACCTTTGGAGAGGCGCGCTGAGAACTGCCTCTCGACTTGAAACACAAACGTGGTTTTCGATCACGCGCTTGTATGTGCCGCTTTCCGGGTGCATTTTGCTCGTGATGTATCTTTGGGCGCATCTACATCCGCCAGCTGGTGAAGCCAGATGTTCTGAATGCCTGTTAAAGCACAGGGGCATTCTGATTAAGTGCTCTGTGGGCAAATTTGTAGGTTACTCGTCGCATATTCACCGGATCTAATTGGAAGTAGGCACCTCTTATTGCGGCAAATCTATTTACAACGAGATCTGCCTAGCACACAAAAGACAATTACGTGCCCACCACCTTGAGCTGGGTCACGAAGACGAAAGGTAAAAGTTGAACGGGGATACATACAAATCGTAAAGGCCATTAGACCAGGGAATCCAATGGAGAAGAGACGCTCTTTCCCTATGTAGGTAAGGCAGGATGGTGACTTTCTTGTTATTTGTACAATGCGAAAGCCAACTATGAATGACAAAGCACAGGCAGCCCCGCTGGACCCGTGTCGTGCGCGCATTATTTTTGCGCTCTAGATTCTCACGTAATTACTCATCCTCTAATAGCACATTCAGCTTACAATCACTCATCGTACTTATTTGCTCTGTCCATCGCAGCGAGACTGGACCTTAACGTGATGCGACGGTTTGCGTACCTCTTTGGCCCATTGAGCTATTCTGGGTGGTACCTTCGGACCCGTTGAGAGCTACTCCTACCAGGTTGGTCAATAGTGAGAGGTCAGACAAACTCCGTCTTCTGATCCTACAGGTGGGCGGTTTGAAATGGGATGGCGTCTATTTCTGTAAAGCTAAACCCTTGCCACCTCCCCGCTGCCTTGCGGACAAGCTTTGGATGAAGACCCCAATCGTCCTCCTGTCTAGGTCTGGGTGTTCTGGCAGTATCTCAGACCACATACAACCATGACTTTTTCTTCAAACTCTAGCTACACCTGTATCGGCCATCGCGCAGATTATCAAGGGTCGCCTTATCTGCTGCATACAGCAGGGCGGATAAGCGCAAACATGCTACTGCTGGTGCCTCCTTTCTTTTCCACCTGTTTCTCTTACTCCCATCCCGACCCCCATTACTAACCTTCCCTCTATAATTGACAGCAACCGAAGTGTCACTGGAGTAGAACTATCTGCAGCCACCTCGCGACATGCACCGTGCGCCTATCGGCAACGGTCTCTTATAAGGCCACCCCATCCCGTTTCCATGGCGATGTTCAACGTCCGCACTCTAAGGCAAATAGGTTAAC